TACTTCTTTGGTTGGTTATTTTACTCCTTGTTATGGAACCAAAGAACATTCAATGAGTTTGTCTCTTTGCAGTTCCTCTGCTGAGCAGCACATTTGGTGCTGGAGCCACGAGCACCGTGCCTGTCTGTCCACTCTCCACAGCCACCACAGGACTTCAGCTCACTTCGAGAAGTCAGTCTTTTGATGTAAGGCACACACACATCACTTGGCATTACCAGAGGCTGACTGAAGGGTATTTTAACAGATTAGAAGCCCACAAACCTACAACAGTATCCACATTTGAAAAGCTCGGTGCTTAGTAACTGTACTACAGTGAGATAAAACCCAATGGGACTATTTATGGTGCCGTTTAGCTTTTTATCATTGTTTTCCTTACAGTACTACCTCTAGCATGAAAGAACTCATTTTAGTTCTTTCCCTTCCTCCCAAGGGACATTTTGCTCTCAGTTGCTCACAGGGGCAAACACCACAGTGGTGGACGTGGTCCCCCCTCAGCCACAGGTACTCACTGGCACTACCAGCAGGCTCCTGCCTCCCTAAATCCCCTCCCCGGCGAGGCTCAGCAGCAGCTCACCATTTCCTGCAGCAGCACGTTGCCATCTTTGGTCAGCTTGATGTCTCCGGAGCCCGACACGAGCCTGCGTGGGGGACCCGCAGGGTGAGCGCCGCCTCGGCCCTGACACACGTGCGCGGCCAGGGCCCGCACGGCTCCCGCCCCACCCATCCATCCACCCATCCGTTCACCCATCCGTTCACCCATCCATCCACACATCCATCCATCCATTCATCCATCCCTTTGTTCCCCTCCGCACGTCTCGGCCCTCCCGAGCCTCCCGAGCCTCCCGAGCCTCTCCCCTCACGCCTCCCCTCAGCCCGTGCGACCCCCCCACCCCCCAACCCCGCCCGCGGCGGGAGGGCTCCCTCACATCTTCATGGTGCCCTTGGGGCCCAGGTTGGTCCTCAGCACGTCCTGCAGCCCTCGGGCCGCGCTGATGTTCACGGCCAGCGCGGCCTGGGCGCGGGCCACCTCTGCCTTGGGATTGAGCGCCTTCACCGCCATGTTCCCCGCTCCGCTCTGCGCCGCGCGGGCGGGGCAGGACAGGCACGAGCAAACCCCGCCCCTTCTAGAAGTCTCCGGGCGCGCTCATTGGCCCTCCGCTGCACCAGGCGCATTTCTATTGGCTGCGGCACCTGTCGCTCCGCCCGCCACGGGAGGGCGCGGGGCGGAGTGGGCGCAGGCGCGGCGCTCATTGGCTCGCCGGAGCGCCGGCCGCGTTCCTATTGGCTGTGGCGGCTGTCGCTCCGTCTGGCCCCGCCCCCGCGCCGCCGCTGAGGAGACGGGGCCATGAAGAGCGGGCGGTCACTGTGTCAGGGTGTCTGAAAGGTCTGGGTCATGCGGTTCTTAACCCGCCCTCTCATGCCACAGACACCCCCAGCAGCCTTGCAGAGCTGTGGGAATAAATAATTGAACCCAGCGATTTAACATTAGACCGGTGGAATTAATAGTTAAGCTGATCGGATTAATAATCAGAATGGTTAAAATGCAAGGTTGAGGTTGATTAAAACTCGTCTTCTCATAACACAGAAGCTGCTGTGTGGGGCACCAGAGCCTGTACAGGCCCCAGCACAACCCCTGTACCCAGGGCATTTCTGGCCTGAACCCCTCACAGGGGTTCCAAGGATTGGGATGATCCTTCCCAAGGCCAGAGGTTTCCCTGCGGAAGAAAAACAGAAATACTGTCCAGGCAACCTTGATGGGTGCTGAAGGGTTTACTCTACGTGGCCTGTCAGGGCTCACACCTTGAGACACTGAAATATTTGTGTTTTCGGGCTATGAAATGGAGCACAATTGAGTTTCCCCAGGGAGGAGCCTGAGAAGAAGCTCCTGCCATGGTTCCTCCCACCCCTGTGGGTACAGATTGCACCAGGTTTGGAGACCCCATTGCCCCATCTGGGCTTGTAACCCCAAACACCCATTGGAGCACCTGCCAACATCAGATGTGACACAACCCTCCTGTGATTTCAAGTATTGCATAAAGAAGATGTCTGGCCCCAGAATAATCCTGTCCTGGCTGCAGAGTGTCAGGGACATCCAGGTGGTTCCTGGTGTTCCAGGTGCTCCAGAGGGTGCTGAACCACATCAAACAGGGACAACTGCCCCCAGGCCAGGATTTTGTCAGTATTTGGTACGGAGAAGACAAAGACCCTTCCCCAGCTCTCACCCACCAGGTGTGACGCTGCCCAGAGAAGCTGTGGCTGCCCCATGCCTGGAAGTGTCCAAGGCCAGGTTGGACAGGGCTTGGAGCAACCTGTGATAGTGGAAGGTGTCCCTGCCCAGGGCAGGAGGTTGGAACTGGATGGTCTTTAAGGTCTCTTCCAACCTAAACCATTCTGTGACTCTATGAAATCTCCCCCACTCCATCCCACTTTTTGCAGCAGGGAGCTCTGGATGCAGCCCTGGACACTGGGCCTTGGCAACCCACCGGGCAGTGATGCAACGAGCCAAACATGTTTTCATGCCACTTCCAGGAATAAAGTCTGAGCCTGCTGCTGGGTCCAGTTTTGTTGCACAGGAGTTTTGGGGGAGCTTGATGGAAGCAGTGTCAAGTGTCAGGGCAGCCTCGCTGGGTTTGGCTGTTGGCTGTGGCACTTGCTTTGGGTGAGGATCTCAGTTTCCAGGCAAAGTGCCATGTTGTGCAGGACAGGAGGACTCCCATGCGTGGCCTGTCCGTCTGACTTGGCAGCTCTGGAAGGGACTAATATCCCTGGAGCTGCTCATATCCTTGGGGTGCTGGTTTTTAAAAGTTTTAGGTGGAGTTGGTGTTTGAACATCAGTCAACACAGGTTTGGATCCCTTTTGTTTAGCTGAGCAGTGCGCATGTCTTGTGAAATATTTTAATGCTGACTCTAGTAGAGTGGCTGGGCTTTCTCTTCTGTTGTTGCAATCATTAGAAATAAACATTAAACATTGCAAAATGCAGGAAATCTCACTTGGCATTCCGTTATTGGCTCTGGAACTCTGTTGAAGTTTTGTCTTCATTGGGATGCTGCTGGCCTGCTGAATCCATAATAAAACAAAATATCCAACCCAGCTCCGAGAGGGTGCAGTGGGAATATCTGAGGTGCCTGGATGCAATGTCCAGGTAAAACACTTGGATCCCCAGCTCTGCCCTCGATTCTGTAGCCCACAGGTAACACAGAAATATTTTGCTGTTCTTGCTTCTCTGGTTTGTCATTTTTCTGCCTGTTCCTCTCAGGGCTGTTCTCAGCAGAGGGCAGCCTTGTCAAACCCATACTAGCAGGCTTGTTATATTTTATGTTTTCCTTGCTGATGCCTGTGGAAAGGCAGGAATTATCCATCCTAAGCACCTGTGCCATGGGGCTGCTGGCAGGGATGTGGCCATTCCCCAGGCAGGTTCAGGTTTGTGAGGGGAATTATTACTGCAGGAAAAATTTAGTTGGAATTTTAGATGTTTTTAATGGGGAAAAAGAAGAAGGTGTTTTCAAAGACATTCTAATCCTTTATGCAGGTGGTCTCTGCTTTTTTGTACGACCGGAGAGGTTCTGTAAAAGTCATGTACAAGAGTTGGGTGCTGTGCTTTTATCAGCAGTCACACATCCACAACCTGTGCTTTTCACTCCTGAACATCCTCCTAAAGCTTCCAAGCAGAGCTCTCTGTGTTTCTTTGCTGGATCACATGCCTGAGGATAGCTATTTCTCATGTGCATTTTCACATTAAATGCCCATTTTGCAGCATTTTTCAGCCATCAGGACAAGCTTTTCTTCCTTTTTTAGTCTGAGCTGCAGTTGTTGAATTGTTCTGTGTATTTGGTTTTAATATCTAGTAAAAATACAGGGCAAATGCTTATTAGATTCAAATTGTCCTTTGAATTCAATGGATTACACCAGATTAGAATCAAAATATTTAACTGAATTAAAACCAACACGTCTGTTAAACTAATCCAAATAAAGGGAATATCCTTCATGAAATATTCAGCAGCAATTCTCTTAGTTAAGCCATGCACTGCTTATCTTGGCCAAAAACCCCTCTGAGATGCTCAGTAAAAGCCATTTCCTTTTATCTTTATCAAGATCTGTTTTCCTTTAACCTCATTCACAGAAATGATTTCTAAATCTGCTTTAAACAACATACTGTCCTGCCACGATAAAGCTGACAAACAGGACCAGACTGAAGGGTGATTGGTGTCACTGGTGAATTTTGCAGCAAAGGGGCTTGGTCCCATTTTTTCCTGACACCACAAGTTACTGACAGATGCTCCTGTCCCCAAATGGTCGTGTACTGAGAACTTCTGAAAGAAATATAAAGGAAAACATGTGAGGAGAGGCACACAAGGTGATTGATTTTAATTAGTACGTGTAGTTTGGAGGGGCAATACTGCCTGGATGGCAAACGAGGTCATGCATGGAATGTGACTGGTGCATCCAGTGGTGCAGAACAGACTGTCAAGATGGGCAGCAGTCACAGGACTCTTATCACAAGTGAACAAAAGTAGCTACATCAGCTAAATTCGGCTTTCTTGACCTCGAACAGCTTGTGGGTTGGCACTCTCCTGTTTCCTCACCAATACCCACAGCAGTGTCAGAGGGAAGCTCTTCTGTGGGATCCCAAACACGAGCACAGGCAGGTTCTGCAGTTTTCCCATTGCTTTTGACAACACTGCATTTGGGGACACAAAACAGAGCCTTGTTATACGCCGAAGTTTTCGTTTTGCTCCGTAGCTTTTGATGAGTTTTGATTTGATTTGTGGAACTTTGCACAGTGATGCTTAAGCCAAAAGGCAGCACCGAATCAGCTCGCAACCCTTTCATCTCTCCCTCAGCCAAAGAGAACAGTGTCCCTGCTTTGCCTCTGATTTCATGCCAAGAGAAATTCCTGACTGCTGCCTGTCGGAGCCGCTCCTCGGGCTCATCCCTGTGCTCAGACCCCTCTGGTTGTCCACGCCCATGGCACAGGATGAGGGGTGAGCGAGCTCCCCATCGTGCTGGGGTCTGGCCAAGCCGTGCCTACCCAAGCCGGGCCCGGCGGCTCCTCCCCCGACGTAGGAAGGTTACACCTCTCCTCCTTTCCCTGTCAGCGAACAGCTGGACTTCTCTGGTTACATGTGTGCAACCATTTCAAACAAACCACCCGGGCTGGCTTACTCAGCACGTTATCGGAGCGTGATTTACAAAATGCGGCTCCCGTCCAGCGCAGCCCGTGCCGAGTGTTTGTGCGACTGAAGGTCTCGGCTGATCCCTTCTTGTCCTGTGCAAGCCAAGAGGTTTGTTTGCAGCAGCAGCAGCGGCAGCCACGGCCAGTTCAATACCGTAAGTCACTGGGATCTTTTCTCTCGGTTCGTTTGGTTCTCAGCTCTGTAACACCGTATTTTTTCTAGCATAGGGAACGAAGGGTGTCCTGTGCCGGGGCCGTGCCCCGCGGGGCACAGCAGCAGCGTGGTGCCTGTTTTATAACAGCAGCATGAATGAATGATGCAATCGTGCAGGGGGGGAGCACCATCATTTTGTCAGGACAGGCGAGAGGGGATTGGAGAGCTGGGAGGTGTCTGTCAACATCCATCAGGTTCCTGCTGCCCCTTTTCAACTACTTTTCACAAGGTGCTTCAGTGAGTTCACTGTGAGGCACTGCTGTTCAGATAATAGGGCACAGCTACAAACAGCACATCCCTTGGACTGCACACAGGTTTGTATCACTGCCTTTACAAACTGAACAGCAAACAGCAGGTTAAGGACTGAATCTTTATATTCTCACCCTGAAAACCACTGCAACTCACAGTTATGGGTGGATGGGTTGAACTTTTAAAACTTGCAGGGATATAACAGCCATGATTTGCTTAAATAAAACTAATCTGCTTAAATGTATCACTTTTTCTCTAAAGCTTGTTGTTAATTCTGAGAATCACCTCAGCACAGAAAAGCCGTCATTATATTATTCCTATTTTACAGACACAAGACTAGAAACAATGAGAATTAAATGGTTTGTTTAAACTAATACCATGGAAAGACTCCTGGGAATGTTCTTAGAAGCAGAACCACTCCTGTAGTCAGAAAAGGTCCCCAAAAAAGTTTCAAGAACTATTTTCTCCAAATCCCTTATTCTAAGATGCAGTTTCCCTTCAATGCAACAGAAACAGTTTAATGTGGTTGAACTTCTGTTGATGGCACTGCATGTTAACATTTCCCATGTTAAACGGGAAAGTGGATCAGAAACACCAGGGATTGTTTGCAAACAAGGATATTCCTGAGTGCTGGGTAATATTTCATTAAGATTCACTTAATCTTTATTCTTTCACAGCAATAAGTGTGAACAAAATGCAAAGTAGGAGTGTGGCAGCACTTGTGAAAGCTGAAATGATAACAAGTGAGGTTTAGTCACAACGAGGATTTTGAGATCTTGTCAAGATCTCATTGAAATATTCCAGCCCCAAACACCTGCAGTTCTGAGCACCACTTTCTCCTTCCATTTACATTACATGTAGGTACTGAGGATGTCTCAGTTTTTCTCAGTGAGGCAAGTGCCCTTCCTTGAAGGGACAGCAAACAGAGACGATTTCAGTTGTTTTCCTTTGACATGTGGTCTTGCATAATTCCCATGTTTGCTTCTGTGACTCTGCATTATGACTCATTATGAAAGAGAATTATTTCTTGTGAAAATGCCTTTTTTTTTTTTTTTCCCAGTACTTCGTAGTCTGGAGGCAAGGAGATCTCATGGGAATTCTGCTTTTCCCCTGTGAATTCCTTTTTCTCCATCTTTATCTCAAGTTTCACCAAACCTCCCTCCCTCTGTTGCTCTTATGTCTTCTCTAGTCAGTTCTTTGTCAGTTGTTTCTTCTCGTCCCCATATTCTTGTTTCCAGCTTTTCCCCTCAATATTTTATGAGACCTGTTGAAATGTTTGCTGCTTGGATGCTTTACCAGCATGCAAATAATAGGCTAGGAATAAATTACCAATCTGAAATTCACTGGCAGCAAGATCAGAGATTCTCTACCCGTGTTTTTCATATGGAGACAGAACTCACTGTGAGAATTTCTTTTTTCTTACTGTCTCAATAAAGTATTGACATATTTAAGCAATCAGATGCCCTGTATTTCAGAGTAATTAATCTCTGCCAACTGCAGAGGCCTGCACCAGTCTGGAATAAAACATTGGTGTTCCCTTACACAGAGATTTGTTAGAGATTTGTCCAGCTTCAATTCTTTTTGCCCTGATGAACTACTGGTGATTTCTGCATTTCCAATCCCAATTCTTCCCTTCCAACTTGTCACTTTTAGGCAATAGAAACCACAGTCTGAGACTGTTTTGGAAGAGTTATTATTGCATGGAATAAAGAGAGGACAGGGTTAATCCAACCATGGCTCTACAAGTGGTAACCATAATTCTTTCTCTAACTGCTTTATTTGTCCATCAAAGTGCAAAGTCCATCACAGCATTGGTCTCATCATTGTGAGGAACACCCAGAAGGGAAAGGATTGTGGGAAATGTGGATATCAGAGAGAAGGAAAAGTTAACGTCTCTTCCTTCCTGCTCCTAATGTGTGTTTATGGCGACAACGTTTTCCTGAGAGAAATTAAAATTTTGAAGACGTGTATGCAGAGATATATCCCAGGTTCTCACCAAGAAACCACGTCACAGTGCAGTGTCCTGACATTGCATCACGATGTGGCAGAGTTGCAGTGCAGCCCCAGGTGAGCATGAGGCAATACAGGATGGTTTTGCATAATAAGGGATCAGTGCTGGAACACCGTGACGCCCATGTCACGCCACAGCGATGCCTGACCTAAAATCAAAGCCCTGCTGCTTGGAAAATCACAATATTTCACTGCAAACACAAACGATGTCAAGTCAAGGCTAATGCAAAGTAAACATGGAATTCACGTGCCACCTGTTCATCCACTGCCAAGTATGACCTCAGGACTGGTCTCTGTCAGAGGGAAGTGGCCACTAAAGAGAGAGAGGGTTCTTTTATGTGCTGTGCTGATGGCATATGACTGTATTTCTTATATGTCCAGTGCAGTTTTTATAGAAAAGATTAAAAAAAAAATGTGGTCTGCAGGAAATAATTCTGTAGTCACGATTCAAAGGCTAGAGCAGAGTTTTACAGTGTGTCCATGCACCTGCCAAACTGCAGTTCAGTCCTTGTCTCTGCCTTTCCCAGGGACGGTCTGTAAAAGCCCTTTTCTGGAATATCTCCTCTTTGCTGTGCCCCCACTCCCCCTCGTTCTCTGGCACACTGGGGAGGTTGAGCCCAGGCTCTGTCCTGCCTTCCCACACCTCATCCAAGTGCACAGGAGGGAAGTGTGGGCTGGGTGGTACCTGCTCTGCCCTTCTCACTCACACCTGGGATGCAGGTGAGCACTGAAGAAGCTACTGTGTCACCTTCTTGGCCTTGTGCAAATGCCATGAACCCGCTTGGGTTCCTGCAGAAGTGTGTTCACAGCAAAACAAGGATAGCAGAACAGCCCTCACAGAAAGTCCTGTTTCATGGCTGCCTTTGCCTTTCATATCCCTTGCTCTCTCTGTTTCTTGCTACTTCACATCTACCTGTTTGTCAAACAGATCCTCTCTTACAAACACAGCTCTTGGCTGTTCACAGGAGGTTTCACCTCTTAGACTGGGTGACTTTATTTATATAAGCTTTCACCTTTCAACAAAGGACTGGAGTATTCTCTTGTATTTGATACACAGGAACAGATAAAAGGGATGTGTGTGTGTTCCACAAGTTTTTAGTGATTATGGTAATTTCTCATAAAGGCTTTTGTATCCCAATATTTGCCACGTGGTTACTTCTCACGGAAATAAACCCAAAGGTTCCTGTTCCTGCTTTGAGCATTAACTATTTAGCTGTGATCTCCTGGTGAGCACATAAAGTCACCTCAGGAGACAGCACTGGTGCTTACCATGGGTGATCCCTGGATTACTCCTGTCTGGCAGTGAGGGACATCAGTGCCTGTCAGCTCCTGTACTTTTCCACAGCAAGGCACACAGTGATCATCTTCTCCATCTTCACTGGGTGTCTTTTGTGTCTGGGCGTGCAAAGTTTGTAAAAAAAGGGCAAAAAAATAAATGGGAATTTGTGTATATAAAACCCTTCAACTTCAAAATTCACATGATATATAGAACATTAAATTACCTTAGTGAGAGATGAAGGTATATAAAGACATCCATAATTCTTTAGAACATGCTGTTTTATGGTGTTTTTCCCCATCCCAGAAAAAGAGAGAACCTGCTACCCAGATCAATTATACAAGACATGTCCTGAGAGAGATTAGAAGGAAGAAGCAAACAAAACCTTTTACAAAAAGCTGGGAAGTGATATAGATAGGAAGCTGTTGTTTGTGTCTAAATGTACAGATTAGTAAATAGTAAAGTCCACAGTGAATTAATTACAAAAGGATGAAGCACAAGATGAGTAGGGAAGAGTAAGAAGATACTTAACTCCTCGAGCTCCTGATCTGCAGAAGTGCTCAACATATTTAGGTGGACAGATATAAAAGAGAAGAAAATAAACTTTTATCAGGGCATTGTTATGGAAAATGTGATGTCTTAATGGGTTGAGTGAAGTTCTCAAAGCCCAAGACTTTAATGGATTTTATAAGACTAATCCCCAATGCTAATATCCCAGTCTTTTATGCATTCACAGATGATGGAAATATTTAGTTTGTATTAATCAGGACACAGAAAAGGATCTAAACCTTCATGATTTAGTGACAACCACTCACTGACAGATTTAGGATAGCTATGTCTACCACAATTAAACAAATCCTTGAGGGCTGAGTGTCCTGCAGCAACCAATCTGATACGGATGGGTCAGGTGAGAAATCAAGACCCATCTGAGTGGCAGGGGCAAGATGAAACAGAGAACTGCAAGTCCCACACAGCCGCTGGCAGCCCGGTGGTTCAGCAGATGCCAAGTATCACAACCTTGAACCCCAAGGGAACATCAAGGGGCCGAGCCAGCAGAGAGCAAATCAGCAGCTGCCCAAGGCTCCACGGCCCACCTGTAATGCAAGTTGCCCATCAGCAGGCAGCAACAGCGGGGAGCAAATCAGCAGCTGAGCCAGACCCCCACCACCGCTCCCCCTGCCATAAAAGCTGGCGACCAGGCTGTGCTCGGCCCTTCTCGCACGAGCCAGGACAGCAGCACCAATGGCTCAGGAAACAGTGCACTACTGCCACTCTGAGAAAGACTACATCTTGTCCCCTCACAGTAAGAAGGCTCCCAAAAGGATGGCGTCCCTCATGGAGATGAAGGAGATCTTCCGCAGCGCCGACGCCGTGTGCTTCGACGTGGACAGCACCGTCATCAGGGAGGAGGGGATCGACGAGCTCGCCAAGTTCTGCGGCGTGGGCGACGCCGTGGCGGAGATGTGAGTATGGCTGGGGTTTGGCGTGAGTATGGCTGGGGTTTGGCGTGAGTATGGCTGGGGTTTGGTGTGAGTATGGCTGGGGTTTGGTGTGAGTATGGCTGGGGTTTGGTGTGAGTATGGCTGGGGTTTGGCGTGAGAGTGGCTGGGGCTCGGCCCGCGGAAATTCATGAAATGTAAGCGTGGACAAGGTCAATCCGCGGCGGGGAATTTACAGCGGGGATTTGCTCAGCTCTGTCACAGGTTATTACAGTTTAAAAAGGATTTTGGGAATAGTAAGTGGAATTAGTGCGTGGTGAAGGAGCTTGTTTTGGAATTGTGAAGCCACCCAACAAAACTGATACGCATTCTACATATACATCGGTTTATATACTGATATAAATTCTGTAATGTAAATTTTGATTGGCTAAGATCAGCCCTCATCCTTGAACTTGGCTAAGCACTAGTAAACCTTATTATGAAATAGCAAACCTTATTATGAGGTGGAGGAGAGAGGACAACTCTCCTAACCCTTCTCTGAGGCTGATGTTTCCATTGAAGATTGTGGCAAAAGTTAAGTTCAGAGAAGGGCACCTGAGGTGCAGGTCAGGAACACTGGTCCCATGGCACTCAGAGAGAGAATGAATTTGTTTTCCTTTGCCTCACTGGTTTTCCAACCCATGGAGATCTCCTACCAGTGCATGCTACCAGTGTACCAACCTCCTCCTTTACCACACAGGTTCAGTATAACCTACAACTATAACCACTTATGTGTTTCCTCATCACCCTTTGTTAACTAAATCTTCTTGGGAGAAGCCTCAACTTGTTAAGTGTCACTGATTTGGTTTCTTTGGATCCCAATTCAGGACCCGCAGGGCCATGGGTGGCACTGTGACATTCAAAGCAGCTCTGACAGCACGACTCGGTCTCATACGGCCCTCCTACGAACAAGTGCAGAAATTAATATCTGACAACCCACCTCAGCTCACGCCAGGAATAAGGTAAGAAAGAATTTCAGCTTATTTTGAAATTGATTTTGGCGTAAATAAACAAAATCCTGCGCCATCACTGAAGCTGTAAGAACACAGAGCTGGTCTGGATTGCCTTCCTGCTCCATCTCCAAGCTGCTTGTGTACAAAGCTTGTATCAGGAGCTGAGTCCATGTCAAGTGGTTAAGCACCCATGTAAAAAGAAAATAAATATTAGCTGGCACTTTGGCTGGCAAGCTCAAATCCTGGCTTGAGGATTAAATGGGCATGCAAAATAATCTGTCCAATCACATCTGGTATTTCATGGGTGATGGAACGGGAAGGAGATTTAATACCCAGTATGAACTACTGGCTGGTTTATTCCACAACTCTATTACCTCTTACACTCCTCTGTGCAGCCATACTTCTGACTCAGGGGATTCATTGCTCAGAGCTACCCATTCTGTCCTGAAGTCCCTAAAAAGTATTAAAAACCTCATTTAGCAAATAGACATATATATGTGTATTCATTCATTTTTAGGCTTGGAATGAGTTTTAACTATATAAACAGAAAAGGTTTAGGTTCTTTTCTCCTATTCAAATAGTTTCAAACAGCTGAGAATAAATTCTTTACTACAAAACTCAACCATAATTCCAAGTATTCTAAAGTATTTTAGCACATAACAGGAGCCTTAGATGATTCTGTGCTTGTATTTTCTCCTTAAAATGAGGCACATGCTCAGCTTTTTCTGTAGAAGACATAGCTAGATGTAACTACAAAGAGAACATTGTTTCCTTGTTTAGAATCATGTGATTTTCCTTTTCATTCCTTCCTTTTCTTCCTCCTTTTCAGTCCTTCCCTTTCTTCCTCCTTTTCTGTTTAGGCTGCTTTGAGCCTCCACTTTGCTTTTCAGTCTTTAGCCTTTCTGCTGTTACTGCTACCACTTCTACTGCTCAGCACTGCTGCAGGCTGATCTTCCTGCTTCCAGAGCCAAATCCCTAAAACTTTTAACTGCCTTCAAGTGTCCCTCTGACACTAACTGGGTCTACAGACTTCTTTTTTTATTCCTTTTCTGTAGCTGGTGCCTTCTTCTAAAGATGGCATCCATGTCCAATGTCTGGGGAACCAACTCTGAGTTAGAAAACATTTGCACTTTGCTCTTTTCATCCCACTTTTGCATTCTGAAGCAGTGGCTTTATCTCCCCCACATTCCCTACTTTTTTCTGCAGATTAATTCTCTTGCTATTGTTTTACTTCAGAAAAAAAGTCTGAGCTGGCTCTGCTCTTGTTTGTTCAAGGGAACTAATGTGACCAATATGAAAGTGTAAAGAAAACATTTCTAGGGCGTGCTTGTTTTCAAGGAAGTAAATACCTGTTTGTCTCTAGATGTGATGGTTTTGCCCAGCACTTCCTTTTGTGTGCACAAACTGCCAGGGAAAGGAGGAAAAGCTTTGGGCAGCAGAGATGGATGGAGCTGGAAAGCAGCACAGATCCAAACTGAACTGGAATAACACAGAGCATGGGCAGGCCTAGGAAAGCTGTATTTTAACTTTCTGCTCTGTCTTCTCAGGGAGCTGGTGAGCAGACTTCACCAACGGGGGGTTCAGGTCTTCTTGGTCTCCGGGGGGTTTCAGAGCATTGTGGAACACGTGGCCTTGCAGCTGAACATTCCCACAGCAAACGTCTTTGCCAACAGGTTGAAGTTTTACTTTAACGGTGAGATTCCCTCCAAGTCTCTTTCCTCTGATAATTAATGCCACTTTTTTGGCTCCAGCTGCCAGATATTGGGCTGCAGACACTGCCCAGCCTATTTATTGTTACCAATCCAGCTTACTCCAACTAGGAAAATTACAAGACTTTATCAAAACCAAGTTCAGGTCATTGTCCAGGTATGAAACAGAGCTGCAGTGACTTTTTAATGGCAAGCTGTGCCAAAGGTAAAACATGTTACAGTTGCTGACAGCAGAGTTTAGTTTTTTCTTGCTCCTTCAAGTTAAAAGAGTTCATTACACTGACCTGCTCTCACAACTTCCCTTTCAGTGACTTTGGGGCATGTGTGAGGTTGTGGAGCAGAGCTGGTGTAACCAAGCACAACTCTAGTTAGTGAGGTTGTTCCTTACTCAGTGTTTCCTACACTGTTTATACATCATCCTGGATGCTGCTTATGCAATGTTTACACCAGAATGACTGAACCAGAGGGACTGGGAATGGATTTGTAGCACTGCTCACACAGGGTTTCTATTTTGAAAATATCCCTTCGAAAATATTCCCACTGAAGACATGGGTAAAATCCCAGTTTTCACTCTTACCTTCCACTTATTTTTTGGGGAGGCTGATACTGTGAGCTTTACAGACTGCTGTTTTCTGAAGTACAGACCACAGGCATAGATCTCTCTTCATTTACAAGAAAATGTGCTGTATGTCCAACCTGTCCTTCCACCGTGTTCTAGGAGAATACGCAGGATTTGATGAAACACAACCAACAGCTGAATCAGGGGGGAAAGGAAAGGTTATTGCTCACCTGAAAGAACAGTTCCACTTTAAGAAAGTAGTTATGATTGGAGATGGAGCTACAGACATGGAAGCCTGCCCCCCTGCTGTAAGTATCACAGAAATTCTAAATTCCTTTGGGGGGAAAAAAAAAACAAAACCAAAAATGGAAAAGTGAGGTTTTAATTCTTGACAGGACTTCAGGGACTGATTAAAGGTGCTGAGTGTGAAGGTCTGGCACAGATCTGGTGCACATTTACCTGATATGACCTAGCAAGAGGGTTCATCTCACTGCACAGTGAGGAAATCTTTGCAGACATCAGCTCTGACGGGGTGAAATAATAAAAGAAATTAATAGAAAGACAACTTTTATAAATGATCTTAATTCCATCTCCCCTTTAACATCTTTATCCTTTCTCACCCATGCTGAGGGGCAGCTGGTCCCTCACTGTTCAACATGAGTGACCAAAGCAGCTCAGTATTTGCTTAATGCTTCCCAGCTCCAGGCAAAAAAGCGGCAGTGGAAATTTTAAACCCTGCACTTTCACTGCAGGTGGTTTTCTGAGATGTAGAAATGATGATTGCTCCGGGTTAATGATTGAAGACAGGGTTAATGTTTGCTTTTGGTATCTATCAAATGGGGTAAACAGAGGTAAGATAAACAGAAGAGGGATAATTGTGGGATGCTCATGCATGTTCCAACGTTTACTCGTTCTTGAATAGAATTGCATCACAATTACATCAGATTTTCAGCAAAATCTCAGTTCTGAACAATCTTGAATCTACAGGGCACTGAGACAACTCTCCTATTGGAATAAAACTCCAATTAACAAAGTGCTGCAGAATTAATTGTTAATGAAGTCCTTGTTAATAAATCTGAAAGGTGAACATGCAAAGTGAAACAGGGGAAGAGGTGAGGGGGGAATGACATACTTTTAAAATCCAATCCTAAAAGCAAACTCAACAGCTGAGAAGCTCCATTCCTTCCATGGGCCTGGAATAATCAGTGTGCCTGTTCTTTGTGTTTTTCCAGGATTGTTTCATTGGATTTGGAGGAAATGTAATCAGAAAGCAAGTAAAGGAGAAAGCAAAATGGTACATTACTCACTTTGATGAGTTGCTAAAAGAACTGGAAGAGCGATAAATTATACAGTAAATTAATCTATTTAACACCTGTAAATCCATTATACAATGAAATTAAACATTTATTTGTTTGCAAAGTTGTGTGCTGGAGTTTTTAATGATTCTGGGTGTTGGGTACCTTCATTCTTTGGCCTGAAACTCGTGTGGCAAATGGCACCATTCAACTCAAATATGTTGTAATGAAAATGGCAAGATTTTTTAATATGTCTTTCCCATGCTGGAAGAAATCAGTTGGTTATTCACTCACAAGTGAAGACCAAAGGCAGAAAATAATAAGTTAAAAATACCTTAATGGATTGGCCCCTGGTCAATTCTGCATATCTGTTGTTTCAGAAGCACTGAAGTTAACACATCTGCTTATTTTGGGTGGCAAAAGAAGGGGACCACAAACAAGAACTTTGCCTAATCAAGAAGTAATATAGTCTAAAAGGTGAACAGTATGGCAAATACTTTTCACTGCACAGAATCTCAGAATTAGGTTAATCAGTGAGCAGAGAGATAGGAAACATCACTAAGTATCTCTGATTTCATTAAAATATGGCTACAGTAGAACCTGAGGGAGAACTGTCACTTCACTGTTGCTCAGCCTCTCTGAAAGACATGAGTTGCATGCAAAGCTGAGACAGATGCAATATTCATCCCTCTCCAAGAAATTTATTTTAAGGCAAGTGATACAGTGGTTCCCAAACTTCATTAAAACACTCCAAACTAAACTCCAAAATGGTGATTCTGTAAAATGGCCACACTGTTTACTTAACTGTTTTATTTATTTAACAACCCACCCCCATCAGCCTATAACTGGATGGAAGCTAATTCATCAACCTTTAAAAAACAAATGGTCTACTGATTAAGAAAATTCTGTGAAACTTCAGTCTCTTCCTCTGCCTCAAACGTGGATTAACCACCCCTAAGCTGCTCTAGAGATAAGTCTGACCTGTTCTGAGCACTTCTCTGAGCTTCACTAAGGAATCCTAGTTTCCTAAGGATGCCTCCTTTGTGGCTGCAGTGTCTGATCCAAGAGAACATTCTTAGTAAATGCTGCCTTTTTGTCAGCAGTTCCTGACAGCTCTTCTGAGTGTGTCTTTTTAACCAGCTTTGCTGGCACATCATGGGACTTTTATTTCCCTGTCTTGTAAGAATATCACCTGTGATAATGTGAAAAGCTTTACTAATGTGAACTAATGTGATTTGTATCGAAAAACAACTCTCTGCAGGCTTTTACCTTCTGGGTGCTTGCAAAGAGTCCTAGTATTTTTCTAGAGACTGAAGATTATTCTGAGTGTGCCAATTCTCTTTCATCCCACCACAGATTTCTAGATGGAATAGGAAGAGGTGATGTCCCCACATTTCAAAAGGTCACATTGTCTAATAATAATCAGGTTTTCACAATTAACACTAGATTCCCTTAACTTAAATCAAGGTGCCATGAGACAGCTCCTGTCCAGTTGTTAAAGCATCACCAACAATTAAAACAAATTCTGGTTTTGTCCATTCTCTGACATCACTGGGAAGGATTTTGGGGAAAGAGGAGTTAACAAAGCCCCAGAGTGAGGGATGGCAGCTCTCAGTGATGCCATCGAATATTTTTGGAAAAAAACTGAGGCAATAATTGCTTGAAGCTACAACAGCATTTAAATACTAGAGAAGTAGAAGGGTTAAAAGAAAACAAACCCAGAAACAAACTTCTGATGGCTTTTTAGAGAAGGCAGACATGTAACAGCCACACTGAGTATCTGCACACAGAGTTTAGAAAACTTCACAAAAGCCAAGGCAGACAATGGCTGGCAGTGCTCCCCAGAACTTCTGGGAGTATTAAAGATGGGCTCTTTTAAATTCTTCCTGAGAAAAGTCTCAGCCAGCTCCAAGGGCAGCTCCTGCACAATCCTGCTTTTGTTTAGTTAAGACTGCACGAGCAGAGCAAGCACAAAGTCCTTCTGCTCCCATTGTGCCCCTCTGCAAACCTACAGTTATGAAGCAGAAATGTTTGCTTGCTGCAGTTTTTCTGCTGAACTAAAAGGCCACTAAAAAAATAAATCTAACATGGAGCTGATCAGCTCGAGGTACAGGCCCCGACCCTGCAAACACTGGGACATGGCTCAAGTCAGTGTAATTTCCCTAATGCCCCAGTCAGAAGCCATGCAGGGGCTCTGTGCCACAGGGATGTTAACATTCCCAGCAGGATCCTCTGCCAGTCGGAGCGCTATGGAAACACGGTGCCGTGCCAGGGATTTCACAACAGCTCTTTAGGTCAGACTGGTTTGGAAGAAAATACCACCCCCCTTCCACTGGGCAAACATCAAGCCTGACCTCTAGCCCAGGAGGTACCAGGAGGATTACTGAGCTCAGTGAGTGGCTGAGCTCTTTTGTCTGTGAAATAGTGGAAAAAACCCAGGAGGGAATAAAGCAGTGAGAGGGAAGTTCCAACGTTACAGCCAAGCTACTGATTTGCCTGAACATATCCCACCCCAGCAGGGCAAAGTCTGGAGAGCAGCTCATGTCAGGCAAGTAATAGCTGGTCTCCTGACCACGAGCATGGGGAGGTACAAGTCTTTATGGAAAGCTTTCTAATGTGATTATTCAGCGAGGCAGAATTGCTTAAAATTATATATTCAATTTGCATGAGGAGCCTTCTAAAAAAAAACAGCTTTCAGTCTTCGCTAAGAAGGGCACAGGACAACTAAATTGGAGTTTTAATTGTGTCTTCATTACAGTGAAGAGCTGATAATTACCAGAGACCCTTCCAGGCATTGTTCCCCACCTTCCAACCACTGGAGAGTGACTTCAGTTCTGAACTCTACCAGTTTTGCTCTAAGAAATGTTGAAGTATTGCTCATCAAAGGAAAAAGGCAGACTGGGCTTTGAATTAAGAGGGAAAATCACAACAGTGTTCACACAATAGGGAAAAGCCAACCTCAGGAAAGGTTCAGGCAAAAAAAAAGCCAAGAAGAGATTGGAACTACTTATTTATCTATTGCATCATGTTCAGTGAGTTTACATAGTTATCTGTAAGTAAAATAACAGGAATTAATCTGTCTCTGATGGCAGCCAGAGCATGAGCATGAAGCTCAGAACAGGAGGCACATTCATTACACATCCCAGCACCACTAGTGGGAATTCAGATCCTGGGGGGTGGGTATGAGACCTGTGCTGTGTGATGTCACCCCACAGAACATCCAGTTATTCCTCTGATTTCTTACTCATGCAAAACTTCATGATCCTTGAACATGACAGAATCCTCTGCCAGACAGAATTTAATTCCTAGTGCTCCTGGTTGCAGGTGGGAAACAGGGATTGCATCAGAACCCACAAAATCCTGTAGCTCCAAAAATGCTTTTTGCCGTTTGTCTCTGAGATTGCTGGTTATGAGGGGTTAGTTACAAGGATAATTCTCTAGGAACAAGAAATATAGGAGGATACTGGGAGAAATAATAAGGACTGGAAGCTGATATTGTCATCCTTTGTCTCTTTGTAGCTAAACAGTAGCCCCAAAAGTCTGGAACAATGACAGCCCCAGACGACAGTCCTGCTTGGGGCTGGGTTACAAGGAGGATCAGCTCAAATGATTTCCTTGGCCCACTGAGCAAGCCAAGCTGAGAACTTTAAGCTGATGTAATGCAGCATTTTACTCAGTAAAATCCCATAATCAGTTGACAACAGGAGGAAAACATGAAAACAGATAAGAACCAGATCAAATAATGACTTTGTTCAAGATGGAATTCAAGCAAAGGCACAAGTGCAGCGTATTTCATGGGAGCAGAAAAGAAGAAACCAGACATGAAAAATGCAGCACAATTTGTGGAGAAAAATCAAAAGGAAAAGTATCTTGTATTTATCACCACAGCACTTACGACCTCTAGAACACTCAGCAAAATGGGAGGTGGTGGAGAGATTGTAAATCCACTTTGGAGAAGGAGAGCAGAATACTGGGAAATGCTGTCCCTGTCCCTGAGAAATGATATTAGCTGGGCTGAAATATTCTGTGCAATTATTCGAATTTTCCACAATAAACACTGCAAGAGGAGAGAAAACACAGGTGGTGCAATACATATAAGGTGCCAGCAAAATGTGAAAATTAAAAGGATTTTATTGACTGATATGTTCTTCCTGAAAACTCGTTGAAATGTACAAACTGGACATTCAGTTACTGATTTGTACATTCAGTTATGTTACACTGATTCTTGTAGCCACTTGAAAGAGAGAATATTATTTTCACTGACAGGATGTTCACATCATTGCAGACACCAAAAGTGTTGATACATTCTAGACTAAAGTGAAACCAAAACAGAACTGGACATCATGGGACACCGAAATGCCAATTCCATCGACTCGACATGCGCCAGTCTCACACACCAATTCAGGAGTACCTACTGGACAGGGAGTGAAACACCCCACCAAGCATATGTCTGAAGTCACAATTGCTTATTAAATTAAACCCCTTTTCCCAGATTTCTGAGCTATTTGTAGAGAGAAATGTATTGAACTGGATCGATTCCCTGCAGAGTGTTCAGACAGCCACACCTTGGCAGCATTTCTTTGAAAACCGTGGGCCACACTTCACAGAATTCACTTTGTGTGACGAGTTTCGACAGGTTTCAGAGTCCTTGCCAACCAGAATTCCCTATTCTCTGTCCATAAGCCATCACCTGACACAGTATTATCCCCAATTAATGACTGCCTGTATGTAAATCCAGAGCTACTGACTGATTTCAGGCCTGCTCCAACAGCCAGGTGTAGTTCCGAGCTCCCCGAGGGCTTCAGAGCTTCTGATTTCACAACTCCCACGTTTGTTTTAAAACCTGCAGTCATTAAAATGCTACAAAAAGGCCACAGCAATGGCAATCCTCCGTTCTGCTGCTGTTACTGAACACTGGGCAGTGCCTGTGTAGCAGGAGATATTAAATACTGGAGGCCACACCTCACCTGGGGAGCTGTCTCACAAAGAACTCCTGTCTTTGGGCTTGTTTTCAACTAACCGACCTTTTAATTACAGTCCTGTGTATTTTCTCCCCCCTGGTACAATCCTAAGAGCAAAAGGTCATGGGTTCTGAAGAAAAGAGGTCTTTTTTATAAGCTCAGT